TAAGATCATGCATAAACTCATACTTTGTGCTTTCAAGGTTAAAAGCATACTTTGAATCACCAAATCTAGAATTCAAGGTTTAGATAGGGATTATATCATAAATTCATGTGATTATATCACTTCATGCTTTATATCATAAAACTCCTCTTTCATATTCAACAACCAATATCATATGATCACAATTTGGAAATCATGAGGGTTTACATAGGTTTTAGGGGAAACATCATAAAGGAATTGTAAATTAACAATTCATGCATATTAAAACATAATTAAATCATTAGGATCACTAATCAAAAGAACCCATGGTAAATGAAGAAAATCCTAGCTAATTGGGGAATTCTACCTTTTGAAATAGAGGAATATGGGGACTCCATGAATGAAAGGAATTCATGGATGAAAACTACCATACCTTGATTCAGAATTCTAGACATTAATTGAGAAATTGGACCCTTAGATTGAAACGCTAGGTTAAATCTTCTTCTTCTTCTTCAAGTTCTAGAGAGAGAATATTTGGAGAGTAATTTGGTTTTCTTTTGGGAATTTGGAAAAATTAATTAGATGGGGAGAATTGAGGGGTAAAAACAGGTATATATAGGGGTCCTAAACTTAGGCAAAACAACATAGTATAGGAATTAATTAATTAGGAAAAGACCCAACTACCCATTAAAATAACTGTTAGGTGACCATCCACGGACCCCAGTACGGACCGTGGTCTAACCTACGGTCCTTCCTTGTGTACCATCGTTTGGTTGTTTGGGACTTAGAATTTTTTTGTCTCGAACGACGCACCTTTGGACCACATATTGTGGTCTAACCTACGGTCCGTAGGTCTGTGGTCTTGGATCGCTAAACCTTGGCAGGGTGCCCAACCCACGGAACGACCTATGGTCTATGGTTCAACCCACGGGCCGTGGTTGACCTCCATTGCTGGCACATGCAAATTCCAAGAATCTTGTTTATTTCTCTCTTTCAAATACAGGGTGTTACAGAACTGCACAGAATCAGTTTAGCTTTGGAGAATTTGAACCCGAAATACTAGGCATAGCTTGCTTACCTTCTCTTCCCTTACCTGTAAGGGATGAACAATCGCTTATTTGATGACCACTCTTACCACAACTGAAGCAACCATTCATGTTGGAGAAGCACTTACCCTCGTGTTTCCTTCCATACATAGCACGTGTAGACATAGAGAATGAAGATCTACCACATTTTCCTCTTTGAGGAACAGGGTTGAACATCCCATCTTTGTTGAACTTAGGAGTAGAATTGGAGAAACCTTGGTCGGATAACCTTTTGCATAACTTAGAACGACTATGCCCATCAGACCTTGAATGTGAGAAGTTACCGTCACCTGTCCTTTCTCTTTTTGCCTCCCTAGACCTTTCCTTAAGTTTCTTCTCTTCAAGTTGTTGAGCATGAAACATGAGATGTGAAATGCCCATATCATAGATAAGCATGGTGGTACGATATTCCTTAACCAACATGTTGGACACACTCGAAACAAAATTACTTATCCTTGCCCTAGGGTCGGCAATCATAGTAGGAGAATACCGAGACAATTGTTCAAACTTAAAAGCATATTGATTCACACTCATATTTCCTTGATGATTGTTGATGAATTCAAACACTTTTTCCTCCATCATTTCAAGGGGAAAGAAGCTATATAGGAAAGCAACTTTGAACTTTTACCAATCAAGAGGACTTGTATCTTCCGCCCTCTCTTCTTTCCATTGCTTGAACCATATTTAAGCAACACCTATAAGTTGATAAGTGGCAAACTTTGTCTATTACACCGGCGTCACTCCCATGATCATCAACACCTTTATACACCTCATAATTGAACTCTTGAGGTTCTTCATCAAACATAGCACCATGAAACTTCGGAGGATTAATTCTAGTGAAGTCTCTCACTCTAGTTGTCGTCGTACCCACATTTGGGTTCACAGGGACCACAACCTCTCTATTGGCTAGATCCATCATAGCTTGAGCAAACACTTGAAAAGCAGCCCTAAAATCTACATTAGTCACTTGCTCGGCCAAAGGGTAGATTGGAGCTTGAGGAGCTTGAGGAAGAGCTCCTCGTTCCATATTTTCTCCCGCATTCCTTCTAGAATATGCCATTCGAGTTTCCATATCCTGTAGAGCATCGGGTAAGGATTAGGAGACAGACATTATAGAGTTAAACTCTATTGCATGATTCTAGAGTAATGAAAGAAGTAGAGTTTCCTAAATATCTTATAGCCACTCATTCATAAATATGGCGCACTTCACACTCATGAACAAGATTCTACTAAACGTGGCTTATGAGACTTCTTAGGAACTTTCTAAACCTTGTGCTATGAATACGATATTTGTCAGGACCCAAAGTATACCTGATATACCATAAGTTTACAGTATATTTGATGCATTTCCTTAGAAGTTGTGTGTGCCTAGGGCTATATTGTATTATAAATACTGTGTTTTCTATCATGTTTGCAGGAAATAGGTGTAGAATGAAGTTGATGGAAATGACAACTAAAATTATGCAGAAGTATCCACTGAAAGAATGACCCACGGACCGTAGGTCTTGTGACTGGCCATCATTGGGCAGGCGTGGAAGGAACATCAAAGAATTTTGACAAACTGTGGATCTATGAAGTAACTGACGGATCGTAGGTCGACCCACTGGCCGTCCTGAACATCCATTGATGAGTTCAGAGAGTTGAAGTTCCAGTACCTTATGAAAAATCCTAAGTGTGGAGCCACGGAAATGGATCCACAGAACATAGATAAGCCCGCGGTCCATCCTGCACGTCTGTCGTTGATGACCTGAGAATGAAGGTTCCAGTACCTGCTGAAAAGTTGCTAAGTGTTGACCCACATAGGGTGACATACGGACCGTAGGTCAACCCACAGTCCATAGGTCGTGTCGTCGACAAAAATTGCATCCAGACTACTTATTTACTTATTTTGTTTCCTTTTTGTTTAGGACATATTTTTCTATAAATAGGGTATGTAAACCTCATTTTTGGAGGTTAGACAACATTGTTTACTTTTAGTTCTTGGTATTTTGTAGAATTAACTTGCAACTTTATCAACTTGATTTCCAGATTTCATCCTATAAGATTTTAACTCTGCAATTCAATTGGAGATTTCGGGTATCTTCTACTCAAATTGTAAGTTCATGAATTCTTCTTATCAAAACATGAATTGTGTTCTTCCAAGCATGAGTAGCTAAATCCACAACTATGGTTGTGGGAACCATGAGAAATTAACAACGTATGAATAATAATTAAGTAATTTTTGAATAGTGGTTATGCATGTACTGATACTTCTTTCGCTTAGAAGTCTTTTTAACGAGTGCACGTGTTAAAACTCGCCTCATTGCTACTTGTCGGACAAAGGAGGTAGTTAATGAGAAAAGAATTAACAATAGAGATTTAGTGGATATTGTCTAATAGTCTAATGTCAATTGTGTGAGGGTGAAAACTAAAGTATACATTGATGTGATGCCTAATCTGAGGTAAAGGTCAGGGTTAGTAAAGTATACACTCATAGCCGGACCAAGGTGCATAGTGAAATTCCCTATTTGGAGGACCAATCACTCAAGGATACATATCTTTCCAACTTTCCATGTAAAACACTAGGAAATGATTACTATTATTAGGATTACCGTGTTAAACGCTTGTGGGGAACACATACACCCTAGTATCTTTCTCATATTGATAATCAAAAGTTTGAATCCTAAGCACTTGTTACTCAATGAACAATCAGTTATTTGCTTCGACCCCACCTTTAATTACTTGTTTCGGAAATAGTTTGACTAAACGGATATAGTAGTGAGTTAAGTTTAAGTCTGAACCATATTTCTCGTGGGATCGACCCCAACCTACAAGTTGGTTTATTTATTTGACGAGGACTGCTTATACTTCTTTAGGGAAGTGTAATTTGTGCGTATCAAATTTTGCGCCACTGCTGGGAATAAGGCTTTTAGATTAATTTTAACTACATTATTGAACTTTAGTCAATTATTTCCTAATTTTACGTTTTCTTTTGTTTTTCTTTTCTAGAGGATTCTACTCTAGTGTATGCCAAGTACACGGAGTCGAGGTGAACCATTGACCCCATACAATCCTAAACTAAGCAAGACTTTGAGAAAAATGGAAAATCAAGGGGTCCATAACAATCCAATCATAGATGAGCATGAGGACGAAATAAATAATAAGAATGCTCAGGTTCGTGGTGGTAATCTACTCAGAGATGCATTGAGGGTACTGAATCCACTAGAACTAAGGTTGCGTGATAATAACAGGGTTGAATTTAATATAGTTGAATCAGAAGGAACTATTGTTCTCTCTCATGTACCTCTAGGGCATACATTTTTCGTGACCAGCAGTCTGATGTAAAAGGTTACAACAAGGGGGTTATTTTCTGGTCTAGCTTCGGAAGATCTGCATGGGCGCATGGTTAAGTTGAGAAGTGTCTGCAAATGTTGTGTGGGACAACCGGAGTTGGATAAGAATGTCATAGGTTTGAGAGTCTTCCCTCTATCATTGACCGGTGATGCTGCAGTGTGGTTTTCTGATCTTTCATATAACTCGATACATACATAGGACCAATTGCATAAGGTTTTCATAGAAAAGTATTTTCCTATTTCAAAGAAGCTGAATCACAAATACAAACTCAACAATTTCATAGCACTACCTGGAGAGTTAATGAGCATTTCATGCGATAGGTTCACTGTATTCATAAGAAATGTTCTGAATCACCACATCAACGATGAGTCACTAAAGAAGTACTTCTACATAGGTCAAGATGACAATGGAATGACTGTGATGGATACTATTACTGGAGGATCATATGGTGAGTGCGCTTTTGAGGAGATCACTGAGAAACTGGAGAAGATTTCCTGAAATAATAAAGCATGGAGCACTAGAAAGTCAGACACTGGAAGAAGCACATTTGTAGTTCAAGCTGCACCTAGTAAATCTACTGATGACATTCGTGAGAAGATCGCTTAGATGAGGAAACAACTTTGGTTGATATTGAAGCATGTGAGCGGCAGTGCAGAAAAAATGAATGTGGTAAATTACATAACTAGAACTCCACCAGCACCAGTTGAGGACTGCTACTATAAGAAGGGTGCGTACTTGGTGAATGATCAGACGGGGGGTTTTCGAGCCAACTCCCAAGGTTCCAACTCGGATAATTGGCGCCAAGGTCAAGGAAACCTAGGTCGGAACTATGGAAACTACAATCGCGAGGGAAACTGTGTCCAGGATAGTAACTACAATCGTGATAACAACTACAATCGGATCAACTATCGCAACAAAATAAGAGACTTGGGCCTTCTGCTCTATCTTCAAATCGGGAATCTGGCAATAGAGAAGCTGGGGGTAGTATGTCACGCATTGAGGATAACATGCAGAAGATGATAAAGAGGTTTGATGAGACTGATGAGAATGTGAAAGAGATAAGAAATGACTTGTCTAGATTTGGTCAAAAAGTTGATGCCCATGTAGTGTCAATAAAGCAACTTGACTAGCAGATTAATCAGTTATCCACTATCGTGAACTCACATCAGCCTGGCTCACTTTCTAGCAACTCCATCCAGAATTCGACGATTGATGGGCATTGTATGGCAGTCCCTACTGGAGGAGGTAAACAAACCATTGATCCTCCTATGCTGTCTGAGGTTGAGATTGTGGTAGAAAGAGATGAAGATGAGATTGAGGTTACTGGAAAGTCTAAAAATGCTACAGAGAAAGAAACGGAACTGACCCAAAAAGTCGTTCCCATGCCTAGACCTCCACCTCCATTCCCACAAAGATTGGTGAAGAAGACCAAAGAAGGTAAATACCGTAGGTTAATAATTATGTTAAAACAGCTTTCCATCAATGTTCCATTGATAGAAGCTTTGGATCAAATGCCTGGGTATACGAAATTTATGAAGGATTTGGTAACCAAAAAGAGGGATGTTAGTTTTGAGGATGATGCAAGGTTACAACATTGTAAAGCTATTGTTACGTGGTCATTAGTGAAAAAGAAGGAGGATCTTGGAGCTTTCACTATTCCTTGTACCATTGGGTTGTTAAATTTTGCGAAGGCATTGTGTGATTTGGGTGCTAGCATTAATCTGATGCCATTGTCTATCTACAAGAAGTTGGGTTTAGGGGCTCCAAAACCGACTACGATGCGACTACTCATGATAGATAGAACTCTAAAAAAGCCCATTGGTGTTCTCCAAGATGTCCTTGCGAAAGTGGAGTCGTTCATTTTTCCGGCGGATTTTGTGATACTTGATTGTGAGGTTGATTTTGAGGTTCCCATCTTCTTAGGGAGACCATTCCTTGCTACTGGGTGCGCCTTGGTCAATATGGAAAGAGGGCAGATGAAGTGCCGATTGAAAATAAAGAGGTAACTTTCAATATATGTAGGTCTATGAAGAAGGAAAGTGATCTCAAGTCAGTATTAGTGGTGAATCATATTGTGGAGCGAGGTTTTGAAGTTTCTATCGAAGAAAGGTTGGGTGTTGATGCACTGGCAACGGTAATGATAAATTTTGAGGGTGATGGTATTGAAGACTATGATGAATTAGTTGCCACACTTCATAGGTTCGAATTCCGTTCCAAACCAAAGAAATTTGAGCTAAATATGAAGAATCGCAACTCCCCACCTGAAAAACCATCTGTGGAAGAATTTCCAAAATTTGAGCTCAAGGCTCTACCATCGCATTTGAGGTATGTATTCTTGGGAAGATATGTCAGTTTACCTGTAATCATTGCGGCCAATTTGAGTGAGGTAGAAGTAGAGGCATTGGTTTCTATGTTGAAGAAGTTCAAGCGGGCTATTGGATAAACTATTGCGGACATTATTGGGATCCCTCCTGCCATTTGTTCTCATAAAATACAACGCATGTCGGACAACAAGCCAAGTATTGAGCACCAAATGAGACTAAATCGTTCTATGCAAGAGGTCGTGTAAAAGGAAATCATCAAATGGTTGGATGCTGGAGTCATATACCCCATTGCAAATAGTAGTTGGGTCTTTCCTGTTCACTGTGTACCTAAGAAAGGTTGGATGACTGTGGTTCCTAATGTGAAAAATGAGCTTATTCCGATGAGGCCAGTGACTGGATGGAGAGTATGCATGGACTACCACAAGCTTAATGCTTGGACAGAAAAAGATCATTTACCGATGTCGTTCATGGATCAGATGTTGGACCGTCTTGCTAGTAAGGGTTGGTATTGCTTTCTTGATGGGTATTCGAGGTACAATCAGATCTCCATTACTACGAAAGACCAAGAGAATACCACCTCACTTGTCTGTTATGTGACTTTCGCCTTCAAAAGGATGTCATTTGGGTTTTTTGTAATGCGCTAGCGACCTTCCAACGTTGCATGATGTCGATACTTTCAGATATGGTTGGGGACACTATTTAAGGTGTTTTATGGATTGATTTCTATGCGTAGGTGAATCATTTGATGCATTTTGGCCGAGGTACTGAAATGGTGTGAAGAGTGTAATGTTGTGCTCAATTGGAAATGTGCCACTTCATGGTGAAAGAGGGGATAGTTCTGGGTCATCGGATTTTTGAGAAGGGTATTGAGGTTGATAGAGCTAAAGTCAAGGTAATAGAAAAGCTTCCACCACTGTTAAAAGTGTTAGAAGTTTTCTTGGGCATGCAGGTTTTTATCAGAGGTTTATTATAGATTTCTCTAAAATTGCACACCCATTGTGCAAACTGCTCGAAAAGGAGTGTATGTTTGATTTTGATGATGCTTGTGTGAGAGGATTTGGGGAGTTGAAAGCAAGGCTAGTTTCCACACCTATCATTATGTGTGATGCGAGCGGAGAGGTGCTTAGTGTGGTATTGGGACAGAGGCGAGAGAAGATTCTTTATCCGATTTACTATGCTAGCAAAGCTCTGAATGTGGCTCAAAAGAACTATATGGTGAATCAACAGGAGTTCCTTGCTGTGCTTTTCACATTTGAGAAATTTTGATCCTACTTACTTGGTACTAAGGTCATAGTGCATTCTGACCATTCTGCATTGAGATATCTAATGGCTAAAAAGGATTCAAAACCGAGGTTGATCAGATGGGTATTGTTTTTGCAAGAGTTTGATTTTGTGGTAAAGGATAGAAAGGGGATAGAGAATCAGATTGCCTACCATTTGTCCAGATTAGTAGAGGAAGCTATGCTCAAGCTAGGAGATGTGGCTGAAATTAATGATGCATTCCTAGACGAACAGGTATTGGCTGCTTCTTATGATCTTATTCCTTTGTTCACAAATTTTGCTAACTACTTAGCAAGTGATTTGGTTCTATCAGATTTGTCATTTCACCAAAGGAAAATGTTTATGCATGATGTGAAGAAGTTATTTTTGGATGAGCCTTACTTGTTTCGTATTTGTGTTGATGAGATTATTAGTCGGTGTGTGTGAGGTTGAGATGATAAGTATACTAAAGGTGTGTCATTCATCGCCTGTTGGTGGGCATCATAATAGTATTTTGATTGCTCATAAAATTTTGCAGTGTGGGTATTACTGGCCTACCATCCACCAAGATGCTCATGATTTCGCAAAGTCTTGTGACTGTTGCCAAAGAGAAGGAGGAATTTGAAAGAGGCAAGAGCTACCTATGAATCTGATATTGGTGATTGAGTTATTTGATGTTTGGTGCCTTGACTTCATGGGTCCATTTGTGATTTCACATGGGATGAAGTATATTCTTGTTGCGGTTGACTATGTAATCGAAATGATTGAAAGCAAGTTTGCGCTTTCAAACAACGAGGGTAAGAGTTTCACCGCATTTCTAAAAAGAGTATCTTCTCCATATTTGGTAAACCTAGGGAAATTATCAGGGATAGAGGTTCTCACTTTTGTAATAAGTTGGTCAAGGCATTGCTAGAGAATATGGAGTTCGTCACAATGTAGCTACTGCTTATCATCCGCAGTCTAGTGGGCAGGTTGAAGTGTCAAACAGAGAGATAAAGAAAATCCTTGCAAAGACTGTGACCGCCAACAGAACGGACTGGTCAAGAAAGCTTGATGATGCTCTATGGTCCTATCACACCGCATCCAAAACTTCCATAGGTATGTTCCCCTACAAACTTGAATATGGGAAGTCATGCCATTTGCCGGTAGAGCTAGAGCATAAAGCCTTGTGGGTGCTAAAGAAGTGGAATTTGGATTAGGGTGCCACATCAAATCAAAGGATAATGGGTATGAATGAGCTTGATGAGTTTTGCCTAAATGCATATGAAAGTTCAGCCTTCTACAAGGAGAAGATGAAGAAGTATCATGATCAAAAGATTGAAAAGTGTGAATTTGTTGCGGGTGATCTGGTGTTTCTATTCAACTCAAGGTTGTGCTTGTTTCCTGGCAACCTCAAGTCCAAGTGGACCAGGCCAGTCACCCAAGTATTTCCACATGGAGTGGTCGAGCTCGAGCATAAGGAGGGAACAATATTCAAAGTGAACGGGCAGAGAATCAAGGTTTACATGGGAAAGTCGGAGAGTGTGCAAGAAGTAGTAGAGGCCTACTATCTTGATGAAGTCTGAGTAATCAAATTGTCTGAGTAGTGCTGCGACGTTCAATCAAGCGCTGCTTGGGAGGCAACCCTAGATGTACAATCTAGCCAACTATAGGTTTTCTTTTCGATATAGGAGTTTTCTTCTTTTATTTAAATTTTCATAGCCTTTTAGATAGTTGTTTTATTTTTATATTAGTGTTGGCTAGATATAGAGTGGGGTCCGTGTCTGAAAAGTGTGTAGAAAATGTAAAAAGAAAGTCCTAATGGTTGCTATGTGTACAGGGATGAAAGGCAAAATTTACAGAAAAATAGCAGTGCAGTGTTCTACGGACCCCATCGACGGTTCGTTTGTCAATCCACGGACTGTGAATAGCGTCTATAGATCCTAGGTAAGTTCCCAAATTTTTCTAAGTGTCAGAGTGACCTACGGACTTAACCCACGCTTCATAGCTTGACCCACAAACCGTCGACGGGGTCTCGTCGGTCCAACATTAGGGTTCTGCCAACCCGACCCAGACTCTTTTTAAATAAAACCCTTTCATTTTAATCATTTCCCACGTCCATATATTCCCCCCAACCATTTTTCAACCTTCAACATCCCCATAATCACGCTAAAAACTCCCATAACATCCCCCCTAATAAATTTCCCAGATCCCATAATTCCCTTGTTCTCTCGTAAATCAGTCCCATAAGATCTTCTCCCCTAAATCGATTTCACAAGTCTAGATTCGATGTCGAAAGTCTAGAAAAGGTTCAAAGAGTTCATTGCACTAACACACTTACCCACTTTGATTACTTGTAAGGTAAACGACTTCACCCTAACTTTGAATTTCATTGTTCATTGTTTAAATTTGAAGTCACGAAGTTAGATCTTGACCTGGGGTTGTTAATCTTCTAGTTGAATGTTGAATTGTAGTTAAGAAACACCCTTGGAACGATAGAATGTGAGTGTGTTATGAGTTAAAACCACATAAATCAAGTAATTGGTCTAATTGGATGTTTTTACTTAGGGTTCATAGTTTGATCTGTTAAAAAGTTAAATTTTGTGCATTCGGAACCCTTAGGATGATAAACTACCAACTTATATATTGAAATGCGTGTATAGGCCAAGTTTATTTGCGTAATTATTGAAAGAAAAGGCATGAAATTGAGTCAAGTTCTGAAACCTGGAACATAACTCACCCACGACTCCCCGTCCACGGATCGTAGGTCGAGGTCCGTGGGTCTGTTGGACACAGTTTTCACTAATTATCAAACCACGATGTGGAATACGGTCTGTCATTCCATCGACAGACTGTTCTACACATCCGTGGTTCCCATATCAGAGATCTAATTTTGGGTACTCTGACCTACAAACGGGACCCACGGACCGTCGTTCCATTGACGAACCGTAGGTGCCCACCATGGGTCAATAGTTTAGCTACTGTCCAATTATTTTTTTTGTTTGGGTCCGTTTCTTATTCTAAAATTCTTCCATGTGTTTTCTTGTCTTGTTTTGGTACTAACTAAGCTTCCACAGGTACCATGGCTCCTAAGCAAGCCCCCACCTGCGCTCCAACGGGCAAGCCCAAGTCTGTAGCAACTTCTCGACGGCTAATCGCTGACGATGATGATGAGTACATTCTGCTAGTCACCATGACCTCCCCTACTGCTCCCTGGACAACTATGAACAGAGCCCAGCAGGCGATTTCCGACAAGGTCACTACCCCCTAGTCTGAGGAGCGGGCCACACCGATCGGCTCATAGGCTGACTCTGAGTCTCAGTCCGACCCCGGTTCGAGCGGCAGCACCGCCTCCTCTTCTGAAGCTGATAGTACGGGCGACATGCTAGTGTGCCTAGTTCTGAGCCTGCACCAGTCGCTACGGAGCCTAACAGGTGTTATGTGATAGGGAAATATCAGATATACAACGATGCTCGCATATTGAATAAGCACGGGAAGATGGTCAGATATACAACGATGCTCACATATTGAATAAGCACGGGAAGATAGGCAGAGTTGTTACTAAGGAGCGTCGTGTTCTCACAAGCAGCCTCCACACCGCTCCAATCATCTACCAATTTTTTTCGGAGGCATGAATGCTAGTGGACGGCATGAAGCCTAGGGTCCTATAGCGAGGAGATAGTCCGAGAGTTCTATGCTTCTTATGAGGCCAGCGTGAGAAATTCCATCTCCAAATAGGCCAAGCCCGTCGCTTAGCCTCCACTCGAGATCACCTTAGTGCGAGGTTTCCCGATCTATATATCAGGTGTCACCCTTCGCAATTTTATCTATGGCGCAGATCACACTATGCCTATCAATACAACAGAGTTCTACTATAGGATGGGTATCTTTCATAGTGGGGCATTTTAGAGGAATATCTATCTGAAGGAGACATTTTTAAGGTGACTAGCACGACTTCTTTCCACAGACAGAGAACACGCTGAGTGGGTTCAGACTCTTAGCCTGGGTATCAAGAAGGCTAAATTGAGCTTCACCGTGATGTTCTTCTGACTTCTGGTACGGAATAGACCGTCCCCAACTAAGCCGGACAATGTGGTCACATGGGACTAGGTCGTGATGATTGCAGCCATGGTAGCAGGTTTGGAGATAGACTTTTCCCACATCCTGAAAGCGGAGATTCATGAGAAGGTCTTCAAGGCCACTTCCACCCTGCCCTTCATGTGCCTCATCTTCCAGCTCTTTAGGGATGTCTTTGTCCCCATTTGGCACTGTGAGCAGTTGCTTAATGCAACCAAGACTCTAGATATCGGCCTTACTCGGGACGATGCCAATGTAGTTGCATCTTGCAGGGAGCCACAGGTTGAGGTACCACCATTAGCAGATGATCTTGCTATGGATGTGGAGC